TAAACACAAGATACTTATAGGGTACTTTGTGGGTACATATAATAAGGGTTTTACAGGACATGTACAAGGTATATATGGAGGTAATTACAGAGTAAATACAAGCTATCTATGGGTACTACTTACAGGGTATTTACAAGATATAATATGGGTACTTAAGAGTAAACACAAGATACTTATAGGGTACTTTGAGGGTACATATAATAAGGTTTTTACAGAGAAATTACAAGTTCCTAAAAAGTATATAAAGAGCTATTACTGGTATTCACTAGGTCATATGGGGTATTTACAGGCTAATTACAGAGATACATAAAGGTTAATTACAGGGCATGTACAAGGTATCTATGGAGGTAATTACAGAGTAAAAACAATATATCTACAGGTACTTACAGGGTATTTACAAGGGATAAATATGGGCACTTGGAGTTTAATTGCAAGGTATTTACTAGATTTGTGTGCACTTAGAGGGTATTTACAAGGTACAGTATTTACTGATATTTACATGTTACTTACAGGGGGACATTCAGGTTAATTGCAGGGTATTTATAAGGTTCCTAATTGAACATACTTAAAGGGTAATTACAGGTGTTTACAGGATACTTATGAGGGTGCACACAGGTTAATAAAAAATCAATCTTCAAATAGCTAAACTGGCATTTGTTTATTGGTTATTGTTTATTTGTCATATGCAGGTTAACACAAGGTCAACAATGCAGTGACACGTTCAGGATGAGAGGAACTGATTTGACTCGCTAAAACAAAAAAATCCAAGAAATACTAAAGCAATAAAAGTACAAAATAAAGTATCCAAAGAGAAAAAGAAATATAATATTTACAAGGTCCTAAAGAGAAATGGTAAACAACAACATGGTAGAATATAACGGTGCAATTAGGATGAATTAGTATAAATAAGTATTTCACAGGTAGTAATATTAGCTTAAATGTACATGGTATATATCGCACATAACATAAACTACACAAGTTGTGAGACAGGTAGTGATAGGTAGGTAGTAACATGAGATGAATTATGATTGTAAGGTAGTTGCATACATGATACAGCCACATAGCGCAGCAGCAATAAACATATTAGCTGTTACAGCTAAAATTAGTCATATTAGTTGTCACAGATGTGGCTTGGTACAATGTTATTGTCATTAGTTCAGAAAGCTGACAGCTTGTTGTGGATAATAACTGTCTTTAAAAACAACAACATTTGATTTAACTTTTTGATTGTATATGTGGTTTTTATACAACCACATTAATGGCATTTATTATGATTTCTGGATATTTTTCCACAGAACGTTCAACTTGTTGTGAGGATCTTTGGTGCCGTCTAAACTTTCTGAAATTGTCCTTCTGTGTTCTACAGTCTGTACACTTTTATACAATTTATACATCAAAAAGCATTTTTGTCTTTTTTCGCTCGGCGTGCTTCACTGCTTTAGGACTTGGAATTTCCTCTGAACCCCCCCCCCCCCCCCTTCCACAAAAAAAAAAAAAAAGTGAGAAGAGCACTCATACAAGATCTCACTGACTTCCACTACACCTGAGTTTAGATTTATTTTCTTCAAAACCTGGAAGTGAAAGTGTCTTTTTGAACTTTTCATATCTGCTAAATAAAACCCTGCAGCAACAGAGAAAGTGACGTGACAACCACCAGACACTTCTGCCTCCTACGGATTGGACGTTTTCTCACTCTGACTCAAATGTTTTGCTCCGTGGCTGATTTTTGGAGGATTGCTGAACAATTCTACTTTTAATTCATAAAAGCCCACTACTGTATTAATAAATGCCGACATCCAACAACTGACTGTAGATGAAGGTGACTTTACAACAAACAACCACTAGAGGGCGCAGCTTTCCCACTGGTTTCAGTTTTGTTGTCCACTCAAGCCAACTTTATTTATAAAGCACATTTAAAACAGCAGCTGTTACCAAAGTGCTTAACAATAAAAATCAACGGCAGTAATTTAATGGAAAAAATAAATAAAAACCATGATAGTACTGAACATTAATTAAAAGCATCAAAACAAAAACACAACAATAAAATACAAAATCAACTCACTGTGTAAAAAGCCAGAGAAAACAGGTTTGTTTTTAAAAGAGGTTTAAAAACTGAAAGTGAAGTGGTCTGTCTAATGTTGGGGGGCAGATTGTTCCAGAGTTTAGGGCCCACCACTGAAAAAGCCCTATCTCTGAGCTTCAACCAAAAGCAGCTGACCACATGATCTCAGCACCCGAGGGGGAACATATGGTTCCAGTAGCTCAGAGAGATATGAGGGTGCAAGATCATTTATGCACTTAAAGGTCAACATGATAATTTTAAAATCAACTCTGATACATACAGGGAACCAGTAAAGGGAGGACAAAACTGGTGAGATATGATCAAACCTACAAGATCCTGTTACGAGCCAAGTTACAGCATTTTAGACGAGCTGGAGATGAGAAATGGAGACCTGACTGACCCCAACATAAAGCACGTTACAGTAGTCTAGTTGGGTAGTAATGAAGGCATGGACTATTTTTTAAGGTCAGAATGGGTCAATACTGACTTAAACTTGGCTATCTGCTTTAACTGGAAGAAGCTTTTCTGTAGAACAGAGTTAATCTGTTTATTAAACTTAAAGTCAGAGTCTAAAACCATCCCAAGATTTGTAACAGACTGTTTTAGATATGGATCAAGAGAGTCAAGGTCAACAGGAACAGAGACAGTAGTAGAGCTAATGCTAAACACAATAACTTCAGTCTTCTGATCAATAAAACAAAAAAAAAAAAATTGAAGCTATCCATGCCTTAATGTCATCAAGACATTTTAACGGAGGATGAATGTAGCAAGAACTATTAGGTTTCAAGGGCAGATAAATCTGACAATCATCAGCCTAATAGTGAAATGAAACGCCATGTTTCCTCAGGATAGACCCCAAAGGGAGCAGCAGATAGAGTGAAAACAGAAGGGGTCTAAGAATCGAGCCCTGAAGGACCCCGTAGGAAAATGGCACTGAAGCAAATTTGTAGTCTCAAATTCACACCGTTTACAGGTTTGCTGCATGTGGGATGCGTCAGAAGCATCTGTAATGTGGGGGGGACATGTGTGTGCGCGTGCACGTGTGCACGTGTGCGCACGTAAAAAAAGGTGTTCACTAGTGAACAAAAAAGCAGCATTTCATCTAGATTTCCTTTAATTCCACACATTTAAAGCATGTTTCTCACCAAGTTTGTGTAAATTCATCTGTGGGTTTAAAGACATTTTAACTTTAATACACTTTAATACAGAGCGTCAGATCGACACTATTTGACTTTATAGAGAAATAAAAAGCATCACCACTGGACTTTTTTTTACTTGTGTTCAACACTACTCATCTAAATGATGTTTCTCATGAAGCTTGAGGACAATAAGGTGTGGGGTTTTAAAGACGTTTCAACTTTAATGCACCTGAACACACAGAGTCTCTTACACCTGCAGCATCTGACAGCATCACAGTTGCTGCTAAGCTAACATGCTACAGACGTAGCGCTTCTCTCAAGCATCCTCCTAACATGAATATATGTTTATGATCAACCCCCTGGTCAACATCTGCCTACACTAAGCAGCTAAACTGGCGAGCGAATTACACAGGTACCTCCACCTCCTCCACCTGTGCGCGTTTTCTGCCGAGGCAAGAGGCAGGAAGTGACGGTGGAGACTTGGAGGTAACCAGGAAAACCTGGAGTGGAGTTTTAGTAGCATGAGTATTCTCCCATTAATCAAGTGGAATGGATTCATTCACGAAGAACGAGAAACTGCGCTGCCTGAACTAATGTTTTATAGTAAAAGTGGGAGGGGTCCAAATTAACTTTTTTTTTGTTTAATGTGAGGGGGACTTGTCCCCTTCACATATAATGGTTGCGACGCCTATGGTTAGAAGTCAAAATGCTTTTAGTGCTGTCTTTTCCCATGATGCTTTTAGGCATCAGTATGACATTAAAATGTTACTTTTTTAAGACTGCAATTGTTTTGAAAGGACATTGCTTTAATAGTCTCTGCTTGTGCCCCACAGCTCCAACGCTCCCCCCCAGTTTGTGCACATGGGCATGGTGGCTCCATGTGAGCCACCGATCGATCAGACCCCTCATAACTTCTTTATGTTTGAAGCACCATCTCCTCCAGGCCCTCCGCCGCACACGCACGACGACGACGAAGACTATGACTCTTAGCTCCCCCCCGTCCACCATGCTCTCCATCTCTGTCTCACACAGGTCATGCTCAGATTCTTGTGTTGATTTTCTGCCGGCTGCTCCAACCAGTGAAGGGAAAGACTCTTCATTTACAGGCCGCGAACAGAAACGCTGTAAGAGACAAAAAAAAAATCATGTTGTATATTAAATGTTTTAATTTTTTTTAAGGATTTTATTTTATTGTAGAGAATTGTCCGTCGCGGATGTTTTTTAACAAGTCACTTGTTAGTTAAAAAAAGAAAAAGAGAGAGAGTTGTCACTGTTTTTTTGTTGTGAGCCCCTGCAGACAGGATACGTGTAGTTTGTGTTGCAGTTTTCCACACTTTTTGTTTTTTCTCGGTTCTCTATATAATTTAATTTTTCCAACACTCGAATTGAAAAATAAACAGAGGAGAGGTAAGTTAGAGCAGTATTCCAGCTTTCTAATCAAAGACAACAAGCTGAGATGAGTTCGGGGCCAAGTGTTTGAAGGGGATTTCTGAAAGCAGTGTTAAAGGGGAACCAGCTCATTGAAGTGTTGTATCATCAAGTTATTCTTCAGCTGTTGGTTAGTTCAGCTCAGTTTCAACATCAAACAACAAAACACACAAAGAAGCAGAGAAAAGTCTTTGTTTGCTTCCTTGTTGATCTATATGGAGATATAGTAGATGTATGGCCTCTAGATCAACAGGCCGTACTTTCCATTTGTAATTTTTTTTTTTTTTTATTAATATATTTGTCAATGAACTCCTCGGCAAAGCCCTGAATTCAGCCACATCATTAGATTCATATTTTGTTGATGATCCTGATGCTGATGTTTGTTTCTGCTATATTACTACATAGGACCATTCAGTTCCCCTGGATTGCTCACATAGGTACACCAACTCATTGGACCATGATATATATATATTTTTTCTCATTTCTAATTTCAAATCTGAACACCCCGCCCCACTAAATATTGCTTTTTCATCTTCAGTTTTCCCTCTTTTACATTGTTTTAGATGACAGCAGAGATGGGGCTCCTGTTTATGTGTAAGTCTCATGTGAAAAGACAGTTCACACCTGTATTGTAAACTTTTAACGTTCTTTTTATTTTGTATGGGTGAAATAAAATTCGTATTTCAAATAAAACTGTATTTTTTTGTGCATGTGTCTGTGTTTGAGATGAAAACTGGACTTTCTTTTAAACACGACTACCGTAATTTCCAGTCTATAAAGCACACCTAAGTATAAGCCACGCCCACTAAATAAAATTTAAAAAAATTGTACATATTTAAACTGCCTGTGTATAAGCCACAGGTGTTCACATTGCAACATGAGATATTTACACAGAAAGATGTTTGTTTTTTAAACTTAATTAAATATGCACCGGTAACATACACGAATATGTACAGTAAATGTTTTTGTCTGAACAGTGCCTGTACACAGCTGGTTAAAAGGAAAAAAAAAATACAGTAGCTTACCTGGAAGTCATTAATCGCCATCTTCAAGCTGTCCTGCTTCACGGAGCAAGAAGTGCTCTGTGACTGTGTTGCCAGATTTCGCGATAGAAACAAGCAACCAGCTCTATTGAAACAAGCCCAACTGGCAACCCACCACATTGCGTAAAACAGACCGTTTTTAAACAGTATAAACATTTATTATGGAATTGCACATAAACAACAGCAAAATTATGCTAAACACTTTGAATAACATACTTTTAAACTCTGATAAAAAAAAAAATACATTTTGCATATGTAATTTTTTTTTTTACATATTTTTAAAAACAAAACATCCTGACATCTGCGTGTAAGTGGAGCCCCCTAGTGGTCGGCCACAGTACGAGTGTTTGAGGTTTGGGCCCACAGACATATTTATGTGTCTCTGTGTGCGCCTGTCGCCTCGCCAACTTGGGCGGGAGCAGGAAACGGGGGCGTGGAAGGGACAAACTACCTACTACCACTCGTCTTTTATTTTATTGTGCAGAGCTGGGAGATCATCAAATAGTTTCACTCGGAAAGAAAGTCAAGCCCAAATAAACAACTTCACGTTCAAAACACGACCAAAAAAAACACAACTCACAAGATTTGCAAGCGACTTTATGAAAAAACAAGCCCAAAGTCGTTTATAATAAACAAACTTGCAACTATGCTCTGTGAGCATGTGAGATTCACATGCTCTGCACATGCAGGGGAATCCCTCCTCCCATTCTCTCCTCCCCGTTTCATTGGTTCGACTGTGACCTGTTCGGTAATTTCATTGGTCAGATTTGTTTTTACCTTTATTCATACAAGTAGTCTCATTGAGTCACGAGACGTGTGTTGGACAGCTATGTGAGCGCCCGGGTGGGACGAAGCCAAATGTTTTTGGCGGCAGGAAGCTCGTTAGCCCATCAAAAAAAAAAAAAAAAAAAATCCATAAATTAGCTGCAGCATTGTATAAGACAAGGGGTTCAAAACGTGTGTAAAAACGTAGCAGCTTATACACCGGAAAGTACGGTGACTGAACTGAGTTTTGTGCAGCTTTTTGTTCAAATTTGGAGCCCTGTGGCCTTTGTCTGTTGATATGTTGATGTTTCACAACTGTGGGTCACGTAGTGCTGTGTGATCCAGACAACTCATTTTGGTGTTTGTCCTTTCTGAATTTTGCAATATTGAAAAGTTTTCCATGGATGTCTCCAGTGACTCATGCAGCAAACAGCCAGCACTTATCAACACCCACCTCTTGGTGTGTGCGACAGTGCAGGTTGAAGGGGTTGTAACACCTTCGGGACCCCTTGGACTGGACCCAACTCCTTCCCTCTTCCTACTGCCATCTTTATTTATTTTAAGTGCCTTTATACCACCCAACCAACCGAGCTACTTAGATCCGTGGCCACAAAAGCAACCGCATCCTTCCTGCACAAGAGTTGACTCAGCGGACTGTGACGAGTGTGAGGCTTTGGGACGGTGTTTGTGTGGGCTGGAGGAGGAGGCTGGGATCGGGGTGGAGATGGTTGATTTTAATTGTGTTCAAACAAACTGGAGCAGTGGGGCAAAGGGGAAGGCGAGCCATCAGAAGGAAGCACACTGTTTCCACACAGCAGCCAACAAGGCCAAAGGTGGCCCTCTGATTCCCATCTCCTTCCGTGAAGCCACTGTCTTTAAAGTGGCCTGCAAATCGGAAAGACAGGGACCGATGGGCGGGTGGGGGGGGATTTCCTGAATTTTTTCTTGGTTAAAAAGCCCTTTATTGTGTGGCTACTTGTTGAAAAGCACACGGGATAAATGCACCTTGTGTTTTAGTTCCTTATAACGGGTCACGTCAGTAACTAAAATCACACGTGCATTTTTTTTTTTTTTACAATAGGGCGTTTTATTTTTTTGTTTGTCCTGAACATTATAAACATATTAGGTTGCATTGTTTGTTAGCAGGATTACAAAAAAATGTTGCCATGTCTCTACCAGAAGGAGGTCAGGGTCCTGTACATACAAATGTTAAAGAGAGAGAAGACCTTCTCAAGTGGGGCTGTGTGGAGAAAACAAGCAGTTCATATCTTACCTGTTGTGGTTGTAATGAAATAAAAAAAAACAATGGTTAAACTTGACATCTTTATAACAGCAATTGTGTCATTGCACTGGACGCCGTTACATAATCTGATGTCTTGTATCTTCTATATCGTGTAATTATTTTCTTTAACACAGTCTCTTCTGTTTTGTCACAGTAGCATCCTCTAGTGCAGGGGTGCACACACTTTCAGCCTGCGAGCTACATATAAAATGACCAAGTCACAGTGATCTACCTACTATAAAAATGCAAAACATATACTTATTTATAAACACATTAAGTATTCTTTATTTGTATAATATATGATGATGTACGTTGCATAACTGCATGAACCTCTATTGCACAATACAACTCTGTGCATGTTTTGTGGTTACCTTACTCAGAAGACTTGCACTGAATGGAATCAGCCAGGGATGCATAGTCCAGACAGTAGCTGCTGATAGTCAGCCTCAAGCACACTTCCAAATGATCACCTGTCATGGTGGAACGGTATTTGGACTTAATAATCTTCATGTGGGAGAAGGCTGACTCACATAAATAATGCAGTCAAGGAGGAAACACGTTTCCTCATGTTGGGGTATTTTTCCTCTGTGAGTAAATTCCAGAACGGTCCATGAGCCCTGGCCTTAAGCTGAATGTCAGCTTGTAGTGTCAAGCTCTCATCCTCCACTCCAGATATTGGTAAACACCACATGTATAAAAATGCACAACTGGGATGTGTCACTCACATGTGTAGCTTCGTCCAGTTGCATTGAGAAACACTCGCAGTCTGCGATATTGTGCTGGGTGAAATAAATCCTCGGACATGGCTTCACTCACAGCACAATGTAACTGTACTTCTTGATGCCTGGAGAGCTTTGATCGAAGATAAGGTTTGATTTTAAAGTCTTAGAATAACGAGTCAGCTGCTTCAACACATGCCCCTTTCACCATCTCTCTGTCTTGAAAAGACTTCTTGTGCTTAACAATGAAGTGACTCACCTGGAATGATGCTTCGGTACCTGCCTTCGTTTTTGTGGTCAGCTGTAAGAAAAATGACTGCTGTTCGGATAACTGGGATTTTAGTTCCTTCACCTTTTTCTTTCTCAGCTTCGCTTTCTGGAAGGAAGTCAGTGTTGTAGTTTTTATGGATAGTCCAAAAATGCCGCTCCACATTTCCCTTCTTTGGAACACGTCCACACATCTACTCATTCTTATCATCACACTCTTGATTTAGTTCTGACCTATGGTATAGAGATTAAGGACTTGGTAATAGTTCCTCAAAATCCTTTTCTGTCCAACCATTTTTTAATAACCTTTGAGTTTACATTAAAATGACTACACAGTCACTGAGAGTAAATTTCATCTCAGCAGGTGTTAATCAGAAAATGCTGTAACCAAATTTAAACAATCTCTTCCATCAATGTTTTCCTCTGTCTTGCAGAGTAATGCATCAGAGAACAGTGACTTAGATCATCTAGTTGATCATCTTACAACTTCAATGCAAACTTCACTTGATAAAATTGCTCCACTGAAAAAGAAAGTAATCAATCAGAGGAAACTGGCTCCTTGGTTCAATTCTGAGTTACGTACTTTAAAGCAGGCATCTAGAAACCAGGAGAGAAAATGGCGCTCTACTAATGTTGAAGAATTTTATTTAACTTGGAAAGATAGTCTGCTAACATATAAACAAGCTCTCTGTAAAGCTAGAACTTTATATTACTCATTTTTAATAGAGGAGAATAAAAATAACCCTAGGTTTCTGTTTAGTACTATTGCGAGACTAATTAAAAGTCCCATTTCTGTTGAACCATGTATCCCTACAACTATAAGTAGTGTTGACTTCATGAGATTATTTATAAATAAAATTATTTCAATTAAAGAGAAAATTCAAACCATCCTTCCTTCTACTATCTCTAGTCCCCTGTCAAATGAAGCAACTTTAAAAATTTCACTAGAGCCTGATTTATGTTTGGACAGTTTTTGTCCTGTTGAGCTCTCTGAATTGTCAAAAATAATAATCTCATCCAAACCATCCACATGTCTGCTAGATCCCATCCCAACCAGACTGTTTAAAGAGGTATTTCCCCTAATTAATGTCCGCATTTTGGATCTACTTAATTTGTCTTTAATGAATGGTTATGTACCACAACGCTGTAAGGTTGCTGTAATTAAACCTTTACTTAAGAAGTCTGACCTTGATTCTGAAAATCTGGCCAACTATAGACCTATATCTAATCTAACTTTCTTCTCAAAAATTCTAGAGAAAATAGTTGCAGGTCAGTTGCGTGAACATCTACAAAGAAATAATCTGTTTGAAGAGTTTCAGTCAGGGTTTAGAGCTCATCATAGCACAGAAACAGCACTAGTAAAAGTCACTAATGATATTCTCATGGCCTCAGACAATGGACTTGTGTCTATACTGGTCCTGTTAGACCTCAGTGCTGCATTTGATACAGTTGATCA